GCACCCTCACACCGTGCTTTTCCCCCTTTTAATACATGTATGTCTTTGGAGTTCATTGGAATATAAGAACAGTAGTAACCTCTGCTTCCCTCATAAATATTATACATGTACACTCAGTTCATGTCCACCGAATCTCAAAATAATTGTGATAATTACTATTACTTTTCAGACTTTTTTATTCTTTGGTACCAGGAATCAAACTCAAGACCTTGACTTGCCAGGTAGGCACTTGTGCTGCTGAGCTATATCCCCAGCCGTGTGTACATTTTTTAAGTTAAAACACATGATACTTGTTGATACTTTGGAAATTGTGCAACAGTAAAAGAAAAAAAAATTACAGTTGGCAAACTACTGTTTGTTTTAATTTATTTGGTATTTTACAGTACTGAGATTGAATCAGAGCCTTCACACTCAGCTACATTGTCTGTCTGTCTGTCTGTCTGTCTGTCTGTCTGTCTGTCTCTCTGTCTTTGAGGCACAGTTCCTTTAAATTGCTCAGTTGCATGGACTACGCTCAGTTTGCAGTTTTGCTTGACCCCTAGTGCTGGGATTGCAGGTGTGTGCCACCACACCTAGTTTGACTAAATGTTTTAAGGAGGCAGATCTTAAAAGTAGAATGGAAATTTGGGGATAGATCCCACTCCATGTTTTACTTAGCCAGATTTTAAAGGAACAGTAGACATGAAATTAGAAACAATTTTAAAAAGAACTTCTCTTATAAACTGTCCTATTTACAGTGAAGAACAAATACATTGTGAGTTTCCATTGTGTGGAAGCTTTATAATTCTATGTATTCTTAGCCAAGTATTATAAATGTAAAAGTCAATTACTGAATAAAGCCAAGAACTATAGATCTAAAATACTGAACATTTGTTTTAGAACTATATAGACATTTGCTAATCTGTTTCAAGTAACAGAGTTTTAGCAGAACACATTTTAGATGAATATAAAACCTATTTTGTAGTTGAATAAATCTGATGTAGCAGTTTCAAAAGAAACTTTGGGACATAGTTGGATTGTCTGCAACAAAACTGAATTGAAATGTACAATGTCTAAAATTAAAATATTGATCTAAAACAAATTTGTCTTTATGGTAGAAAGTTAATGATAAAAGGAATGAACTATAACTATGAGTTAATACCAGAATAATCTCTAAATGAAAAGGAACAGGCTATGTGATTTCATTTATAGAAAACCATAAAATACCAAGTAATCTGTAATGACAGAAGCAGATGATTAGTTTTTAAGGGTGGGAGTAGAGGGTAAGAAGCAGCAAGAGAATATTTAGAGAGTAATTATCTTTATCATAGGAGTTTCAGAAGCGTATGCATTGTGCACTTGGTGCGCAACACGTTACTCAGTGAACTCTTGGGAAAGCTGTTCAGAACTTAGTGTGTCCAAGCAGTAAGGCTCAGTCATTGTCACTACATGTTTCAGATGGCTACTGAACGTTCAGGCCCGAGTTTGCTCTCTGTAGTATGTGTGTATGCTTTCTGTATCAGCAGCCTTGTCACATTGTATTTGTTTTATGACAAATAAGGCTAACCCATTGGTAAAGGAGCATTGTTTTTTTTCTTTTTTTGATTCTCTCATATTAAGTCTGTGTGAATCTTTGAGATGTTTCTGTGGTCCTTCTGGAGTTGAGTATATCCTTAGTTTACTTGGAATGATTTGCCGCCTTCTTCACATTCTTTAAGTTACCTTTCTTTTGTGAGTTGGAATAGGTGGTTCTGCAGTATCTGCTGACTGTACAAATTCAGTTGTTAAATGAGGCAAAAAGTAAAGATTAAAGCTGGATGCAGTAGCTCACACCTGTAACCCTGGCTACTCAGGAGGCTGAGATGAGAGGACTGTTTTTAAGGCCAGCCTAGACAAGATTAGACTCCATAACCCCTGCCCCCCCCAAAAAAAAAAAAGCCAAAAAACACAACTTCAAAAAAGATTAGCGTTGAGCACATACAGTGCTAAAATTCAGGGAGCAAAACCATGGAACATCTGGTCTGTGCATAACTCATAACTTTAACCTTGTGAAACAATTTTGAAAAGGACTACAAACATTGTAGAAGCATTAAGCCAGATCATTTATGGCAGTAAGGATTTACAAGTTAGTAAATAATATTTGTTTTGTTCTAAAGTCACTCTCCCACTTTGTGAGGTGAGAATGGAAAGGATCAAACAAAGAAGATAGAAAAGAAAGAGCATTTCCAGAAGCACTGAGGGTAAATTGGCCTTCAACTTAATTTTCTGAGACTGGAAAAAGTTACAGAGATGAGTGTGAATGAATACCTTTGAAGAGAGGAGGAAGTGGCGGCTGGGGCCGTCGGAGTCACAGAGTGTGCATGAGTAGGAAGGGAGGTGGACGCGCCTGGGTAGGAGCTCCGCTGCGCCAGATTTGGAGTATTTGACCATGGTGCCCTGAGGAAGACCTGACCAAGGATCTGCCGTCCACAGTCAATGAGTGCTCAAAGGGCCCCACCCAAAGGCGAAGACCATCCATCAGTAATACCTCCACTCTAGGTATATCACTTTTCCTTCCTCAAATTTCTCAGCAATCTCAGCATCAAAATGAAGTAGAGTAGACATTTTTTTTTGTTTGTTTGGATTTTAGGAAAGGGTCCACAGCAGGGTCTCACCTCTAGATCGGACTCTTAGTGATCAGCCTGATTACAGCCTCCCAAGAGCTGGGATTACAGGTGTGCATCACCACGCCCAGTTTCAATCACTGTCTCAGCACACCCCATGGGCGGGGTGGCACAGCAGGTCCTGGGGATCAAACCCCTGCCCCCCTGTGCCTGCTTGCAGACGCTTTAATCTGCTGAGCTATTTGGCCTGTCCTTGCAAGCATGTTTTAACATTGACAGATGGTGTAGTTTGCTGGAGTTTAGAGAAAATTATATGGTGTGTATATCAGAAGTCTGAAAAATACCTGTATGTATTTCACATGGTCAATTATGAGTTCAGTTTTGTAGAGAAGGAGAAAGAAGAAAAAAAAAAACAGATGAGAGCTAGTGGAGCAGCCTAATGAAGAGAGATGAATCTGGGAGCTTGAGCTTAGAGGTCTGACTAGGAGTGGGTCATAGAGGAAGTAGAAAGAAAGGTTGCAAGATTTCTGGGAGAGAATTTCTGAGTCAATTCTAGGATGTGACTGATGCAGTTAATCCGACGCGCATTTATGAGGCAGTCCTGTCATCATCAAGGGCTGTCCGCGAATTTCAGCTTTGGATTATTGTAAATTTGTACCTGGTTCTTGACAGGGTGATAGGTGCTGCTCAGAAAAAGTGAAACATGTCCATTGGCCTGGACATGATTTAAGATTGCAGAGGTAGTTTGTTTTCCAGTAACAAGATTTTGGAGGCTGTGTGAGTGGAGTGATGGAGTAGGTGTAAAGGAAAATCTCCGGAGTCTGAAAGGTTCAAACCCTGATAGGAGGCATAAGATGCATACGTGTGTGCCATGGCAAGAGGCCCTGGGCCAGCTGCAGAGTGCTCCTGCAGCTAACTGCTCTGACTTAGGAAGAGCCCTTCCCTTTCTCAGGAAAAGGGGCATAGTACTGAGGCATTCAGCTGGGACTGTGGAACCAATCTCAAAATGTCAGGCTTTTTAAAAATATACAGGGAGGATCAAATTTTAGAGAAAAGAAATTTTATTGGTGTATTTATCAAAATATTAAAATTTGACATAACGTATACTTCATTCGTATAAATAACACTATCTAGAAGCGTGTTTTACTGAATATAATGTCACAGTCACAATTAGCGTGGATAGTGTTCTAAGGTACTTGCACCATCTACATCAGTCCTATCTAACGTTAGTATGTTACCTACTTTCGGATACACAAAAGTTGACAAAATTAAGGTATATTTTTTTTCCTCATCCAAATTCACAGACCTTTGAATTCTCTCATTCTGGTTAAGAAGCTAGCTTTAAGAAGTGGCTTATCCAGAAGTTGAATGAGAATAAAGAGTAGTGGGTCTTGCATGAGAGAAGTGGAAGTGTTGGGGTGGGGGGAGCTGTGTGGGACGGCGTGGCAAAGGGCAGGGGATTGGCCAGAAGGAAGGCGCTGGGGTTTTTGTTTTTTTAAGGTCCTATTTCAAATCAAACCAAAAAGTGGAGGGAGAAGAAGCTGATAGGCACAGTGAAAATTCTTAGGAAAGCAGTGAGCCAATGAATAAGGATGCAGCAGAGGTGAAGATGCTCGGGCTACCCAGGGTGGTGGGCACTGCGGTGGAGGCCTGGCCAGCCAGGGCACGCTTGTCCCCAGTGTTTGGAAACCTGTTGAGGCCAGCCGTGGGGATGATCAGAGGAGCAGCCCGTAGCTTTCTAGGTAGAAATCTGCTGAGCAGTGGTTGGATGCCCTTGAAGACTTAGTACCTCACTGACTTAAGGTGAAGAAAGTTAGGGCTCCTGTGTATACTTCTGGTCCCCTTCTGTTCCCGCTTTGTCCCTACTAGGGATAAAACACACTCTGTCCAGCTCAAGATAGGAAAAGCTGAAGTCAAAGTGAGACGCTTGAGAGCGAAGTGCAGCACAGTGCTGGGGCGGAGGGAGGCGCTGCTGTTCTAGAGTAAATCATCATATGTTTTCTCTGCTTTATTTTTATTGCTGGTCCCAAACACACAAACCATATGAGCATTGGTGAGTAAATGCAAACTTTAAGAATTGCTTTTTAAAGATCATGCTTGGCGTTTCACTCAAGGGGAGGGCTTGGGAATATCTGATAGTTTAAAAAAAAATGAAAAAAAAATCTCACTAGCAAAATATGTATATTTTTAGCCTAGTAAACTAGACAAACTTTCAAATAATACAACTTAATTTTCAGTTACTTGAAATGTATAGAAGAATTTGATCATTCTGATTGGAAAATGTATTAACTTTAAAGTAAATGTTAATACTTAAACTTTGTATCTACCTAGTTACTCTAAGGTGCATTTTTATTTTGAAGTCTGACAATAAATTGAGTACTTCATGGAGTGATTCTGTGTGTGTGTTGTTCATTTAAGGAGTTGGCTCTCCGCAGCCAGTTGCCAACCCTGGAGCAGGACGGCGGGACTCCGAACCCAGTGTCTTCTCCCGGCCTGTCTCAGGAACTAAGAACAATGACGACCAACAGCTCAGACCCCTTTCTTAACAGGTTGGTGAGAGTGCTCCTGACCAGTATTTGAAAAAGCACACAGCTTTTAAGATTTTTCTATTTAAGAGTTTGTCCTTGGCTGTTTTGAACAATTGTGTGGGCCAGAAAACATAGCTATAAATGAATCTCTCCATAAATGGCAAGGGCTATAAAAGCGGAGAATTCAGAGCCATCTCCTGTGGGGGGAAATGAGCTGTTCAGACTTGTATAGAGAATGTTTACTCAGTTACAGCGTGTTTGCTTCTGCCTGTACTGTTAATCGTTACTTAAAAATTAATCGTGAAAGCACATGTGAATACCTTTCTGTGAAAGCAAATAAACTGTATCTTAAACCTCGTTATGATTTTATTTTAGGATCATTGGCATAAATTTTCCATGTAGCCACTCACCCTGAGAGGTTTCCTCCAGCCACGTTATAAGGCCTTCTGTTCTCGTAGGGCTGTAGTCCTGGGAGATGAGGTACAAAGTTCCGTCCTGTGGCCCAGAAGATACACAGCAGCACAGAGCCTGCCTGGCAAGTGCAAAGTCCCTAACAGAAAGAAAAAAAAACTAAAGTTGTGCCTCTTTCATAAAATCATCAGAATTACTTGCAGTATTTGAAAATAACGTAGCTTAGGATGCTTGTTTGTGAGTTAATCACAGTTGCTGGCTTTCATAGACATTGCAGTATGTGGACTGCTGTGTTGACAGCTGCAATCCGAGACAGTATTTGTGCCTTTGCAAGTCTATTTAATTGATTAAAATTGATTAAAATTGATTAAAATTCACTTCTAGTTTATAAAATATCTATGAAGTTTCATTTCATTTTTTAAAAAAATATAGACTATTTTGTTGTTTTGTTTAGATTTTTTCCTGTATTTTAGGGAAGGGTCTACAGGGTGTTCGGGGTCTCACTACTACCTTGTAGTGATTCTCCTGTTTACAGCCTCCCAAGAGCTGGGATTACAGGCATGTGCCACCACGCCCAGTCTCAATTGCTGTCTCAGTGCACCCCGGGGGCGGGGCGGGCTTGGTAGGCCCAGGGATGGAACCCTTGGCTCCTGCGCCTGCTTGCAGGCACTTTAATCTGCTGGGCTATTTGGCCAGCCCTTACTTTGTGGGTTTGGTGTTTTTCCCCTCTTAACCAATTTTAAGCAACACACTTTTTAAAAGAGACTTTGGTTTAGAAAAGTTCTGTCACCTTTTTACATCTCTCCAGTTGAACTAAAAACTTAATGATTTTAAGAAAAAATATCTTGTTAAAAAATATTTAGAATAATGAAATGTATGTCCCACTGCCCCCCAACCCCCCCACCCCCCAACCCCCACACCCCGTTTTTTGAACCCAGAGATGGATCTCAGGACCTTGTGCTTGCCAGGCAGGTGCTTATACCACTGAGCTACGTCCCTGGCTCTTCTCCCAATCTTGTGTTGGTAGCCTAGTTGAGAATTTTTACTTTGAAAGTCTTCTCAAATATATCTTAAGTTTGTATTTAATCTTGTGACAGACATATACATGCAGTGTTTAAAGATGGACCTAAAATTGAGAGTATTTGCAAACACTAGTAATTCTGAGGAAAGATCATGAGTGCAAAACTTTTCCTTCACGAGGTAAATTTCAGCTCAAGGAAAGCCCAGTGCCTATTTCAGTGAAGGCCTATGTTGATCCAGGGTAAAATTAAGCAATTCTTCAAATAAGTGGGTAGACTGTATCTTTTTGTTAGTCATTTGTGCAAATTGTTTCTTAAAACTTAACAAGAGCTAGACTGTAGTTTGAGATTCTTTTCTGGTAAGATCACAGCATAGCATATAATGTTTACTATTTTGAGGAGTAGCTCATAGAGTTAATTTCTGTAATACCTCCAGTTTCTAAAACCACACATCTAACCATGGCGTGTTGTTTTTTCTTTGTAAAAAAATACTCTGGATGGTTTCTGTATAACTTAACCAGTTGACATATTTCCTCTTTAGGCCCAAAGCATTTTTGTTCCCCTGACTCGGCTGAGAATCGACTGACTAGTGGTCCAGCAGTCGTTTATCTCCCTCTTGTTTTGAGACCCCTCATGGCCAGCTCAGATTCCCCTCTACGCGTACAGTTCATACATACCTGTATATAATTTATTGATATATTTGTTGATCTTCCTCACCAAAGTTGTCAGCCTCTTAAAAAGTAGAATTTGCAGTTTGTGGTTTTTTACCTCTATCCTCATGGCCCAGTCTAGTGCCTGATGAAGTAGTAGATAGCAGATGCTTATGGATGAGTGGGTCCTGCAGAAGGTGGGATCTGTAGGGGCGTGTCCTGGTCAGGAAGTCGGCGCTGTGCACGTCCTCGTGTGCGCATGTGCTGCCCCCATGGACCGAGCGCCACACACCTGTAAATGCAGCTGCTTTATATCGGACTCATGTCTAATGTGTGCCCTGCGCTGGAAAACAGAAGAGAGAAGTGATTTGGACAAGGCCCTTCTCCCAGATCAGGGCATTCGAAAAATAAAAGCAGACCACTTCCTGAGGCCTTTCCATGTGTGGCTGTGTTATGTGCACATGTCTCAGTCACAAGTTTGTGCTTTCTTGGATATGTCTAAGGCTTTTGAATCTTGCCTAATCTTGACAACAGTTTATGGTAAACAGGGGGTTACAGTATACAATGAAGTTGGTGGGGAGAAGAAACAGTTCACCGAAGAAAGTTGGGGTGCTCAACATTTAACCTTCAACAATTAAGCCTTAGGGTTATTGTTCCTAAACTTTGGTTATTGGTTATAAGTTAAATAGTTGCTTAAGTGTCTAAGATGTAGGGAAAGTTAAAGTTCATGTTCAGCAACCAGTAAGAAAAATAACAGTTGACTAGGATTTTTGTAAAACTCCCAGTTTTATAATCGATGTCAGCTGATCACCTTTGTGCTACCAGATAAGGCTGGTGTTCTACTTGTGAGAGTTATGTTCTCAGGGTATTTACCCTCCTGTAAGTAAATCTGGGATTTCTCTCACTTGGCCTAAAGTAAAAGTCTGTCTTGGCTTATGTGTTTCCTCAAGGGGTGTGCTTTGTGGTGTCCTGCTTGCTGGTCTTATACGCAAATGGAGCTGTGTGGCTGAGGGCTCTGGGTTCTAGCCCGCGGCGACGGCAGCAAGGAGATTGGGCTGCGGGAGTCCTTCTCTTGGTGGCGCCAAGTCGGCATCTGTTTTGGCCCAGTCCAAAAAGGAATTCTGGTTCTTTATTTTGGATTAGTTTTTCTTTGGCTTAACTTCTCTGTACAAGAGGTAGGAATTTTAATGAGTAGCGCAAGCCTGTCTCACTGTCAAACTGAGGCTTGGGTTTTGACCTCTTTTCCAGTGTTACCACCACCTGGGAATTGAGACTCTGGAACCAGTTGTGTGTTTGCGGAGCTTGTTAGACCCCTACTGCTGCTTTCTTACTCTCCCCACCCCACCATCAGATGACACCCGGAGAGAGTACCTATGCAAAAACTTTTTGTCACCTAGGGAGACTAACTAGATCTGTCATCTTTCTGTCGCTGCTGCAAAATGAAAAGCCTTGAAGCCCCTTCGAGCTGCCAGCTTCAGTTAAGATTAGCTTGTCTATTTATTTCATAATATAGGGCTGTATATGGCCCTGAAGGAGAATGCTTGTTTCACCTTTGCAGGTGAAGGATTTTACTAATCCTCCTTGAGAATCTTGATATTTACTCAGTAGGTATTTATTTTGCCTTGAATTGATTTAAATTTTTTGGCATTGAGTTTTTTACTGAGGTGTTTGTTCTTTTTTTTTCATACTACAAGTTTGCAGCCCATAATGATTACCTCCGTCATGGGAAGTTGGTACATGTATACAGCACATCCTTTTACATCCCTTCCTCCCCGCTCCAGCACTGGTCTTTAGCTCTCATTACGTTGTTGTTGCAGCGGCACCTATCACTCTCGCGATGAGAGTACAGACAGCGGGCTCAGCATGAGCAGCTACAGCGTGCCTCGGACCCCAGATGACTTCCTAAACAGCGTTGATGAAATGGACACAGGTTAGTACGGTCACTTCCTCTTAGAAATAGGACTTTTAGTCACATACTGCCACCAGACCTGGTAGCATGTGAGCAAAGGTTAATCAGAAAAAGTAAAATGAAACTGTGTAATCTTCAGTGCAAATTGAGACCTCTTTGTTTTTTCTATATGTTGCTTTCCCAGTTATTAAATATCATGGATTGGGTATCCTAGTTCTATTTGGATAAAACTAACAACATGACGTTTTAACATGTAAATTGGTAAGATAATTGTGGTCTTTATTAGAAGCCTCCTTTTATCATTATAGATTCATGTTCTTAATTTTTTTTTTTTTTTTATTTCTTTATTTGTGTGTGCGTGTGCGTGTGCGGCCAGTTCAGCCCACCAGGGGGTGGGGGCGGGCGCGGGCTGGCATGTGGTGCTGGGGGATTGAACCGCGGTCCCTGTGCTTTGCTAAGCTTGTTCTGAGTAGGTGCTTTAGACCACTGAGTCATCTCACCAGCCGCTATGTTCTTAATTTTGGAGATTGGTATTCTTAATTTCCATGTGAGCCATTGTTTGCCCTTCTCCTCTCTAAGGATTTTGGGTCCAATTTACGTGTTATGAGGCTCAGGAAATTGGATGGGAAGGTCTTGGTGGTAAGCCCCCTCCCTACTTTGTTGTTACACTATTTATAGAAGTCTCGCAGGACCTGTGCAATAACCACCTTGCAGAGGTAATTAAGGAGCCACTCCTCCTATGACTTACTGGTGACAGTTGCCCTGAGTGTGGTAACTGTCAGAGTGTAGGAGCTGGCAAGCAGCTCCTTGACTAGCTAGGTGTTAGCTGACAACTGTTCTCTGAAAACAACTGAGAAGCCTTTGTCTTGGTCCTCACCCAGTCATGAGGGTGATGCTCGGTGCATCCGCAGCACCGTTCCTGGATATCCTGAGCATTTCAGTCATCCCAAGGAGCCGCTTCAGGTCTCACTTGCCCAGGCCACTGACCTTGCTGCTCACGTCTGCATTTCTTCTCCAGACCCCTGGAGTTTTTCTGAGCTCGTGCTCTGTTGGCGTGAGGAATATCATTACAGTCATATGCAAAAAAGGTTCTGTGGCCAGGTTAGTTTGGGACATCTAGAAACAAGGCTGGAAGGATTTGCAAGAATTTCTGGGTAGCTTGTTTTGTTGTTGTAAATCTCCATGTTTGGAATATTTTGTTTTAGTGTCAGCTGAAATGTGCATAAGAAAAAAACAAGTTTGTGCTGCCTATGAAACATGTAATTTTACTGTGTTCGGGGATACCCGACAGTCAGTGGTGTAAGGCTGCCCTTGCGCGGTGTGCTGCTTCTTCCCCTGCTGCGTATTCTTTCTAGAGGGATTTTTTTCACAAGCCCCTTTCCTGCTTCACACTTACTGTTAAGCTTTCAGACTCTACATTGAATATCTGGGCAGTGTTAAGGTAAACTTGGTGTTGTCATTTCATTATCTGTGTTGTTTAAATTCTGAGCATCAGTCCAGGTCAGTCAGGTGCTTTCTTTCTCTTTCTTTGTCTGTATGCTTATGTGATGCTGCTCTGATGTTGTATTTTCAAAAGCTTACCACACTGTCTTTCTCTCTCTGCTGCACTAGGTGATACGATCAACCAAAGCACCCTGCCCTCACAGCAGAGCCGTTTCCCAGACTACCTTGAAGCCATTCCCGGAACAAATGTGGACCTTGGAACACTGGAAGGAGATGGGATGAACATAGAAGGGGAGGAGCTGATGCCCAGTCTGCAGGAGGCTCTGAGCTCTGACATCCTTAATGACATGGAGTCTGTTCTGGCCGCCACCAAGCTAGATAAAGAAAGCTTTCTTACATGGTTGTAGAGCCCTCAGGTAGACTGAATTCTAAATCTGTGAAGGATCTAAGGAGATAAGACATGTATACCTGAAATTTCCAAATAAGCCCGTTAAAATTTTTCTGGCTAATACAGAAAAAGATGAACAAACGTCCAGCAAGATTCTTTCATCCATTATTTTGCTCTTCCTTGTCCATTGCTGCTGTTAATATATTGCTGACCTCTTTCACAGTTGGCCCTAAAGAATCAAAAGAAGTCGTTTTGTTTCTTTTGCTACTCTTAACTACTGTTCCTTTCGGGGGCTGGGGAGATGAGCCTGCTGGGGTGACGAGTGCCAGTCCTTTTGCCCAGTTAGATGTTCGCTGATCATTCTAACTATGTAGACTCGGGAGTCAGAATGCTTCGTGTCACAACATTTAGTTTGTTGAAGTAGTTGTTTCTTCAGCTGCCCTTGGTCAGTGGAAAAACATGCCTTCTCATGACCAACCAGAAAGGTTGTACCTGGTGTGACGTACTTAACGCTGATTTGAAGAAAGAGTATAAACCAAGGCTGAAGACTGTTTTACTCTCAGTGGCTCTTTTCCTTAGTGCTATCATTAGTCACATACTGACCTTGATTTTATTTTAGGAGCTTATAAGGCATGAGTCAGTTTCCATAGAAATATATTAATTATTGCCACATACTCTAGTATAGGTTTGGGTGGATATTTTTGTGGGTGTTTTATTTTCTGTTTGGCTCTTGGGGGTGGGGGTTGGATGTTTTTTGTTTGTTTTTTCCAGAACCTAGGCAAATTATTATATTAGTGAGTCTGTTTATAGTTGTAGCTTGAGAAGGTTATCGTAGTTTGGTAAAATCTGTGTTTCCTGGTTTTTGCCATCTTATTTAAATCTTGATTATCCGCTTTTTCTATATATTCACACACACTTGTAATGTTTATAATAGTGTGATAGCAGAATGTATCTTTTTTTAGGCTTCTCTATTTTCCAGTTTATATTTTTAAGTGGTAGTTTTTAATGTATCTATTTAGAACACATGGGTGGTAGTTTATATTTCACAAGTAGTTTAATTCTGGTTGGGGAAATCTACAAATGTTTAAGGTAGTTTAGTATTCCAGAAAGGGTGTTACCATGGCTCGTGCCTAGAGGAGTGAGCACCCTGTGCGCTCTGGACACATGATCAGTATTACCTGAGGAGTTGAGAGGGGCAAATGAGATGGCTTGGTCCCCCTTGGACTAAATTGAATCTTGATAGGAAATTACTGAGTAGGTTTGTAATGTACGTGGCAGACTAAGCCTTCTAGGGGTTTACCTTCCGTCAGCTCTGGAACTTTACCTTCACCTTAGTTTTGGAAGTAAATTTTAGTACTTTTAGTTTTCATTTGTAATGAACACAGTAAATACTAGTAAGTTGAAATAAGGTTTTATAGAACTTGCTCCTACTTTTGCATGCTGAAAATTGACCCTGGGTAGTATGTAGAATACTTGTATGGTCATGAGTTAGCTGGTAAAGCAGTCAGATTAATAAATGTATATTGGTAGCTGAATTTAGCAAAGAGATAATCATGATTTACCTATATTTTTACAGGAAGAGATGTAACTAGAGTATGTGCCTACAGAAGTAATAATGGCTTCCAGAGAATATTGTTTAAAAGGAACAAAATGAGTATGAATTAACTCTTCAAATAAGCTATGAAGTAGTAGTTATGAATTATAGTGGCACCAACTACCCCCTCTATGATTTAAAGGTCTTTTCAATGCTTCTAAAATAAGCCCTTATTTTCAAGGGTTTATAAAGGACAAATTCTGTTTTCCTGGCTAAAGCTGCTATGAAAAGCCTCAGCTTGGGAAGATAACGGTTTTTGGTTTGGGGGTTTCAGGTTTTTGTTGTTTTGTTTTATTTTTTTTTGTTTTTTTCCAGTTACAAAATCTCAGTATTTTGACCCTTCAGATTGGAGGAGTGTAAAAGTGGAGTAAAGAAGTTTTATTTTAAATACTTTCAGTGCCTAAAAATAATGCAATTACTGTATTGTATACAGTGATTCATAAGTTGGTCATTCATCATAATTGACTTTATAGAATTTATTTAAAAAACAGCAAAAAGATTCAATCTTAAGTCTGGAGGGTATGGCCACTGTGCGGATGCATCAAGTTTTAGAACCATTATGAAATTCCACCCAGAATGCGAAATTGAGCTTATGGATGGTGCAGAATGTTGTGGTGGTCGTTAATGTGCAGAAGGTCAAAGCTACTTAGGAGTTCCTACAGTTTGCCAGTAAGATACAAAATCAGATCGCATCTTATATAGATCAGCAGAGTAGCTGTAGCTTAGTGGGAGGGTGGGAAGGTGGGTGTGAGTTGTGCAGAGTTAGCGGGACCTTGATAGAAAAAGTTATAAACTTGTTTTTCTTTAGTGAAGTCTTTTCTTGCATCTTGCTATCATTAAAGACAGTCGTTCCTAGAATTTCAGTCACTTCAGTTCACCCATAGAACAAAAACACATAGTCTTCCTTCCCCTGGACCCACTGCTCAGTGGTACCTCAATGTCTGGCAGTGCCTTGTTCCTGACTCAGTGCTTTGATCTTAGTGTGTGTAGCCTTTGTACTGACCTGAAGGAGCCCTCAGAGTCCCTTCTCCTTTTGAGTTTGAATCACAGCCTTCATGTGATCTTTATGTCCTTTTTCCTAATGTAAAAGTGTTTTCATGCTTCTTGGTTGTATTGGGTAGCATGGGGATAAGATTTTAACTGGTTATTCTTGAATTGCTTTTACAATAAACCAATTTTATAATCTTTAAATTCATCAGCTTTTTACATTTGTGTTCTTTCCAGTTAGGGCTCCTTAGATCTAGTTATAATTAATGGAGCACATTGATTTGAAGTTTCAGATTTTTCAAAGCATTATTTGTTACAATAACTGTTTTAAACATACTGCCTTAAAAATAAACAGTGTGACTGTGATACTGTGGCTGGAGGAATAATGTTGCTGTGTTAAGTGCTCATTAAATAGATGCGTTTCCTGTGGAGCATGAGATGGAAAAATAGCAGTTGTGTAAGTCGGAATTCAAGCCAGTCAGTGTTGAACCTGAAAGCAGTGCAAAACAGCAGGCAGCGTCCAGTGCTTAGCAGTTCATGCCCTTCCTCCGTCTGCGAAATGAGTGCTCAGATAACTTTTATCATTGCAAACATGTTTTTATAAGAATTGTGGGTTTGCCCATCTTAACAATTATTTCCTGTATCTTGAGAAAGTATTCTCCACATTTTAAATGTTATATATTAGAGATTTCTTTAATGCACACTTGAGATATATAATATATATATCTCCAGTGTTACTTTTTGTCTTGGTTTAGATATAAATAAGCATGCTCGTGTTAGGTACTTACATAAATTGTTACATTATTTTTTTCTTATGTAATATCTTTTTGTTTGTTTATGTCATTCAAATATATTCTTTCCTTAAACTCTTCCTTGTTGTTTTTAACAGTTGATAACATTTAAAACGTTTTTGTCTTACCAATCTCCTAACAGACTAAGCACCAACTGGCAGACATACAGAGACGTTCAAGTTAATTTTGCTGTCTAAAGTTCGGCGTGGCATTAGAAACACAGTATAGGTGCTGTTCTTGCACTGATGTGTAACTTTGTCTTGTGCCTTGTCGCGCCCCCTCAGGCTAGTGTCTAAGCAGGTGTTGGCCATTGCTTCCCGAGTGACTGGCCTACAGGAGCAGTACAGAGGAAACAGGCCTATATGACACCGTTTTTCCAATAGCATTTGGTTTTTATTTCTCTAAAATAGCCCCTCAGTTTTCAAAATAGAATGCTTATGTTAATTAAAAGTATTACATTAAGTTTTGTCAATAAAAAGATTTACAAATTTAAGTGGGAGTACAAAACTTTGAATAAGAAGTAGATTTGATTATCTTTGAAAATAACTTCTACGTGTTTATCTTCAGCTGTTTATACATACCAGTTTTAGTGAGGTAAATCTGAAAATTTTTATGCTTTGCTATTTATAATTTCTTTACACTGGTAGGATACTAACTTTGAGGGAATTGACATTGTTTCCCTCCATTCAGTACAAAATAGAATGATACAGATACTGCCTCAAAACCATCCCTTGTGGCTTGGTGTGTACCTGAGTGGTAGACGACGTGCTTCCTCCGCGTGAAGCCCCTGGTTTGCCCCCTAGCTCCAGAGAAAGGGTCTGTGCCCCTGGCGTTGGTGTGCTGCCACTCACTAGGGAACCTCTCCGAGGAGAGTGCACTCTGGCTGTGCTGTGGCAGTGTGGACTGCTGGTACAAGGAAGCCTCAGTGGTGCTTTGGAGGGTGGTGGGTCAGGTTTAATTCTTCCTGGCTTCCATTTCTTTCTTTCCTTTTTTCCCTGCCTCAGGTTTATTTGCACAAAGAGCACAGGAAGACACCAGCATCCCACAGATGGCACCCCAGGGGCACACCAGTCCTCCTGTTTTTACATCAGCAGACAAGAGGCTTTTACTGTGGAGCCTTCACAGGGGCCTGGGCACCTTTGGGAGCCTGGTCCTTAGCTGGAGCAGAAGCTGGGGCCTGGGCCTTTGGCCAGCAAGGCCTGCGACTGTAGGCATTGTGGGCACTGATACACTTCCCAAGCCTGGGGCAGGCAATGTAGGCAAGTCGAGTGAGGCTGCAGTTTATTTCCTTTGGAATGATCTTGGGCTTTGCAAGGGCCTTGATATCCTTGGCACATGCACTCACGGCCTGGCATTGTTTGCTTGCGTCTTCTGGAAGCCCTTCTTGTTGTGCTTCTTGGTAAAATGCATGTTTTAAGGAACTTGGGATCTACCCCTTCAGAGATTCGTCTCTTTGTGACCGAGGTTTCTTGATGCCATTTCTGTCCCATTTTCTGGACTGGTTGTGCGTGGTGTGGTTCTTGGATGTGGCCATAACTGCACTGTAAACCACAGCGACCAAGCGCCTGGAACTGGAAGATGAAAAGCTGGTTTGCGTTTCTTAACAGCTGAGGTTGCAAAAGAAGAGAAGCCCTAAAAACCCTTTTGCATGTTTATTTTCTGATGTCAACCAGAGCTTCCCTGGTCCTGGCCACTGGCATTTATAGTGAAAACTGGGCTTGATTGGGGTAAGTTCAAGCACTGCTGTCCTTTGACTCTAGGGCTCTGCATGTGCTGGAGACTCAGGCATGGCATCACCCCTGGTTGGCATCCCTGTCCCACTGAAATGCCTTACATTTGTTCTCTATTTTAGTTACAAGAACCTTCCAGTCAGCCGTTTTCTGAGTTAAAAATCCAGCAAGAGCCAGGTATGGTGGCCATGCCTGTAACCCTAGCAGCTCCAGGGGCCAGGGAGATGGCTCAGAATAAGCACTTGCCTGGCAGGTGCAGGGTCCTGAGTTCAATCCCCGGTACTGCAAAAAAAAATAAATCCTAGCAACTCCAGAAGGTTGGAGGGCTGTGGTCAGGGGTGGGAGAGATTGTGAGACACCGGCTGGGGTCCCTGGCATTGCCACAGACACCTGTACAAGGACACTGCCATTGTACCAGCAGGATGGACGATTTCCTAGCTGTGAGTATAGCCCTTACCTGAAAGACTCAGTACTGCTGCAAGTAAGACAGTTACAAGATCCGTTGGGAATAAAATGAGATGATCCTAAAAAGACGTGTTTTTACTCTGCCATAGTTTCATAAATTCCTAAACTAAGGGACCTTATTTCCAAGCTGTTGTAACTGGCAGAAGCAAAAACAACACCCTGACAATCTTCCTATCATCTATGCCTACTGGGAAGAGTATTTGGGGAACTCTCAGCAAAGGGATTGCATACATAAAATTACTGAACAACTGTTCTGCTACTTAAAGCTATTACTTAAGTGAAGCCAGCCAGGGACAGTGGCATATGCCTACAATCCCAGCTACTTGAGGGGCTAGGGCAAAAGGGTCTGTAGTTCAAAGCCAGCCCAGACAACTTAGCAAGATTCTGTCTCAAAATTTAAAATAAAAATATAAAGAACCCCAGGGATGTAGGTCAATGGTAGAGTGCGTGCCTAGCATGTGTGAGGCTCTGAGTTGCTTCCCCAGCATCCAAACAAAACCAAGCAAAGCCAGGAGCAGCAGCACACAAGTGTAGCCCTAGCCCATGGGGGAGAGTGAGATAGAAGAGTCACTTGGGTCTAGGCGTTTTGGGTCAGCATGGGCAATACGGCCAATTTTCATCTCAAAAATGAAAATGGAACTGTTAAAAATGCCTTAGTGTAGCTCTGTGAAATTGATTGTTTACAAACAAATGGATGGACACGCAGGGATCAGTTCTAAAAGTAAACTTTTAAAATCAATCGATTTCTTGGGATTTTGATACTCTACTCCATGTCCTCATCCTTAGAATGTTTCATCATACAGTTTGCCTGAACAGTGGAGACTATATAAAGCAACCTCATGATGTGAATAACTCCTTGCATCCAGTTTTCATTGTGGGTGTTATTAGAAGCTGCATGTTTCTTTTAAGGTATTTGCCTAATTTCAACAGTTCCTACGTTAAAGTGCATTTACGCAGAATTGAATTGATTGCCTCTGTGGCCAGTTAAAGCAATTTTCGCAAAGATGAGGATCCTGTAGTGGGATTGACGAAACGCTGCCACATTTCAGTCCTGCCTGTGCGAGCAGGGTGAGGCTGCTGGGAAACCTAGGGGTTGATTTTCCTTCAACCTGGGATTTAAGTAGCTTGTGTTTTAAGGAAATCTTTGTGGGGGGTGGAGACAAGCACATCACAGAAGCCGGCAGCAGCATTCCATGGGCCGCCTAGGGGTGGTGATCCAACTCTGAGTCTTAGGTTCTGTTAGAGGTGCAAACGAGCTGCCGCACCGAGCTGTCTAAAAGCTCACACAGGCCCTGTGAGTTTGAGCTGTGGGGAGAGGCCATTCGCTGAGCTGTGTGCTCTGTTGAACGCAGGAAGTCGGGAGCCCTACAGAATCCCAGTGAGATTGCCTTGAGGAGAATCTGGCCTAAGGGGTTAGTTCTGTAATCTGAATCACTGAACAGCATAGCTGCTACCTGTGTGCGAGGCCTACACAGTTTCTGTGGAGCTTCCAAATCAGCCTGAGCCCAGGTGCACTCCGTCCAGAACAGCAGCTGTTTGCCCAGGGCCTGTGTGACCAGTGTGCTCGGAGGTACATCCTGATCAGAATGGAGCAGCAGTCACGGCCAAGGAGGGTATTGGTTACTTAGAGCTATTGATCAAGTCTCTGCGAGTCTCCCGAAGTTACTGGAGCAAGTCCCAATGTCTAGCCACTTCCACTTTCCCTAGTGGTGGTCTAGCCTGCCGAGCACAGCAGATTTGAAAAGCAGATTATTCCGATCGAGACCGCACAGCCCTCACTGCTGTGAGAGCTGAAGCCTGTGAGGAAAGTGGAATACTAAGGACCGTTTCCATGATCGCAGAGCATGTAGAGTTCCCCAGACGCTGCCACATCTAGAGCCTATAAAAGGTACCTCAGATGCCACACTGGCTACTAGACTCTGGAAGCTTTAGGGCAGAGCACATAGCTAGGAAGTATTTTCTGTGTATGTGTCCGAGGTGAGCCATTTCCATGGGTTCGTTTTGGTGACTTGGTTCAAAGCTTCCGCACTCCTGGCTGCACTCAGTAGGACCTTGGGCCTGCACAGAATCCTAGGAAGAGCACCACAACAGTAAGAGTGAAAATAAACAAAAAACCCTTAATAGGTTGTTAAATCTTAGACCTTTTTAAAGTCCTGTGTTCATCTATCCAACAGACGTCAGCTAATAGTCTAGTGTTGGGCAATAGCATGGTGACTTCCATA